GTATTTTTATAATTGTTGTGATAACTATTTTTTTTATTGGTATTACATCAATAATAAAAATACTTATAAAATGATAAATATCAATATCAATAAAATACACAAAAATAAATAAAAATAGGGTAACCTAGACAACTCCATATTATTATGGTTTGATTGCTTAGGATGAGGTTGTACATGACAGACCCATGTGCAGAATAATATGCACCATTCTTTCTGGGCTAAGTGAAGTGTGACCTAAATTTTATAAGTATCTGATATTCCTTTATTCTTAGGTCACATTTTGCTTATTCCAATGTTCCCTCTATCCAGTTGTTGGGAATGATTTTTTTTTTTTTTTTATATTTTATTTTTCAATGACACACACAAAAAGAAGTATGTATTTTTTGGTCCAAACATAATTGTTGACCCCTAGAGGATAATCTCTAATAATAAGTGAAAACTTTATGTAGGTTTTGTTCTTGGATCTGATTATGATTAATAAGAATTTATTGGCGATTATTTAATTAGAAATTGCTCTAATTGGGTGATTTTGTGAGTCATATCCTTACCATTCACGTTTTTTTATCAAATTAAGGGCTATCAAATGTGTCGAGTTAAACGGTTTTGTATTGAGTTATTCGGGTGGTGGGTGAAACATGTAAACTTATACATGACACGTTTAATAAACGAGTGAAAAACCTTAACACAGACAAAAACCGTTTAATAAACATGTAACATAACATGATTTGTTTTACTTATTTAATTAAAAAAAAATTATATATTTCATTAGTTGTCACTAAAAACAATTTATGTTTATTTTTTATGGCGGTCACTAAAAAAAATACTAGTTAATTTTTTAAAAATAATTATTAAATTATTATTATATTAATTTTATTTAAATGATTGTATCATATCAAATTTTGACAAGCCTATCAAATTATTGGCGACTTCTCATGCCCTATAAGGGTAAGTTCCTTTTGTTCTTAAAGGGACATATTATAAATATGTTCGAATTACGATAGTTAGTATCTAAGTTTGAAAGAGTAATTGTTGTAAGTTTAGACATCCTGTAATAAAAATAAAAACATTGGTGACGATGTCCTCGACACCTTTTTTTGTTTATGAAATTCAATGATGTTATTTAGTTGATAATAGATCCCGTTTAATACAAGATTCAAAGCTAATTCAACACTAATAATATGTTTACTCATAAAATTATTTAATTAATTTGGTCAAAGTAAGACTATTTATTCGAGTCTCGGCACCTTCTTTTAAATTTATTCAAGCTTTTTCCTGCCCCCACATGCTTGGAAACTAGTGATTTAGTTCCTTCCGGCAATTGAGGATATCATGCTCCGAAAGCATCGGCGGCATTCAAGTCAGTCCAGGGGCAATATCGTCAAAGAGAGGGCACATCTGTAATTTCATTTGAATTGTATTTACAATATTGCCATCTGGCATTGGCTTCAGGCCGAAAGCAAAGAAAAAAAAAAAAGTAACTGATTTGAAGGGAAGATGGGTGATTTTACTATTCCAAGAAAGTAATGGCCATCCATTCAAAATGTTATTTATTTATTTTTTATTTATAATTTAACAGTTAGAAATATTTAGATCAGTTTATCCGCATCTCGGTTCATTTTTTTCCCAGTTCGATTAAAGATAAATCATTCACGTTAAGACTAAGGTATTCATGAGATATAAATTTTTCATCATAGTTTAGCTCTTGTTTCAAGAAGTTGTCAAAATTAAAACTCATGACATCTGAATTTTCATCTCTTCCACGTTACCATTTGAAATTTTTTGAAATTAATTAAATAATTACGTTAAATTAAGTCTATATAATATTGATCTTTGATTAAAGCTAGAAAAACCATGTCGGCATAGTTTGTAGCAATCTCAAAATTTAGTGGGCCACCCTCTAATACTCTTTAAGATTATGGTAATCAAGGAGTCGGAGTGTTTTTTTAGGAATTTCTCTGAAGGACACTAGACTTAAAACCTCTCTCTCTCCCCCCCCCCC